ATTGAAAAATTAAATAATTTTTTTTTTGGTTCATTTCAAAGCCAAGTGAATACCGAAAAAAAAAAAAAAAAAAAAAAAAAAAAAATCAAATCTTTCTTCGAGGGGATTGAAACAAGTATCTGGTAGTATAGTAGTAGTGGTATCTTATGTATGGATTCATTCATTCATTTTCTTCGTATAAAATTTATGACCATCGATCAAGAAGATGAACACTTCGAACACTTGTTGTTATAGCTCGAACAACGCATTCCATTAGGAACGCCTTTTTTCGCAACAACAACCACCACAAAAACCACCATGATTGATTTGATCGATTGATTTCGATTGTTGGTGGTGGTGTATTGTCTCAAGAATTTTTCGTTCAGCATTTTTTCCTTATTCAATGATGTGCAAGTATTGATCTTTTTATGGAATTCTTTTGAAAATTATTCGATGAAATAATGGATCATCGAATATTACAATTATGGTTTTTCTTCATACCATTCATCATTTTAATACAAATATCATTCATAAAAAATGATGATGATTATTATTCAATGTTAACAACAGAAAATCATTTAGATAATGATCATTATGGTTATGTAAGTGATCAATGTGATTGGTCTGGATCAAAATCATCATTACTATCAAAATCAACATTAGATGATAATAATGGTAAACGTTTAGTAATGCCAATATATCTTCGTTGTTCACGTGGACAAATAAAATGGTTTTATCCAAATGGTGGTCTACGTGTTGTATTGAAATTAGGTACCGATGATCGTCGTAATTTTCGTGGCTGTATTCGTATTGCCCGAAATACAAGCCGTAATGTTCGTATCTATATTGAAGGTAAACGACAATTATTACAGATATTTGCTGCCGATGATGGTCAACATCCTGATCGTTTTCGTTGTTTTGTTTCGGTCAATCATTTTATTGCCTTATTCATTGATTCATCAATTATTGATTCAAATTTATTGCTCAAATATGTAAATGATCCTGTGATTTTTCAATATGATCTCGAAGAAATCGTATCTTCATCATCTAAAACATCAAATCAATCAATTATTATTGATGATGATGATGATCCACAATGTTTAACAACATTAACCGAACAATGTACAGATGATAAAATTTTAGATTTATATTGTCGTGCTGATTTTGTTCTAACTGGACGTATTATTTACTATCAAGAACGTATTGATCTAAATCTAATTGAATATCGTATACAACCATTATATATTCATCGTATACCATATGGACAAAATAATACAATAATTCTTAGCGATATGGATACAAATAATTCTACACAACAATCATTAATATTGAATCGACCGATCTGTCCAAATCGATCATCACCGACATCAATAATGATCGATAATATTCGACAATTATTCGTTGGAAAACAAATTCTTGGTAAATATTTTATTGAATGTTCAATCGGTTTAGATAAATGGAAACGATTAAGTTCACATGCACGATCGAATCGAATAAATAAATGTGCCATATAATAGATTTTTAAAAAAAAAATAGTATCGATTTTTTTGTGCAATTCGAATCGAATATTCGTCCATCACAACCGAATTTATAAACAAAAAGGGGCCAAATTACAGATCATTTTTATTTTAATTAAAAAAAAAATTTTGTTTTAAATAATTCAATTCAAATGTAACATATAAATAAATAAAAATATTTCAAATTCAACAAGTGTTCCAGTTTTTGGCATGCATAATATTATTCTTAAGCAATACAATCATCCATTTGATCATCATCATCACTTTGATCCAATAGTAAACGATATCCAGTATCATTATTATTGATTGAAAAATTATCATTAATTCCTTTACGACTATATAATGGCATTAAGCTTAGAATTTTTGATAAATGAACATTTTTCTCTAGAAATGTTAATTGTTTCATTTCTTCGGTTGGTGATTTTGATTCATCACTATCATCATCATCATTATCTGAATCATTAAATTGATAATTATGATCAATATCATCATTGAAATGTTTTGTTGATCGACGCCATCGTCTCAATAATAATGATGAACAAACAACAGAAATTGATGATAATGTCATTGCAGCCGAACCCATCCATGGTCGTAATACAATACCCCATGAAAGAAAAATACCTGCAGCCATTGGAATTCCAATCAAATTATAAACGCTTGCAAATGCAATATTTAAACGTATACGATGAACAGTACGATAGCTTAGATCCCAAGCATCGACAATATCATAGAGATCATTATGAATGAGAATTATATCGGCAGCTTCACAAGCAACATCTGTACCGGTTGAAAATGCAATACCAACATCGGCACGTGCTAATGCCGGTGAATCATTAATACCATCACCAACCATTGCAACAAAATGACCGTTCGATTGTAATTGTAGAACAATTTCCGTTTTATTCGATGGTAATACTTTTGCAATAACATTTTCTTTATCGATACCAATTTGACGAGCAACTTTATGTGCAGCACGTTCATTATCACCGGTCATCATCATTATTCTAAGATTTGGACGACGACGTCTTAGTTCACGAATTGTTTGTCTTGCATCCGTTTTAATCGTATCGGTCATTGATATTATCGATACAATCATATTATTCATTGCAACTAAAGCTATAGTCGATCCTTGTCGTTCCATTTGATCGATTACAATTTGAACTTTTTTACAAATTTTTACATTATTTTCTATAATCCATTCTTTTGTACCGATCAGAATTTCCTGATCAATCGATGATGATGAAATGGAATCGTCCACGATTTCAACCAATGTTACAATTGAATTACCAATGGAAAATCGTTTTGTTTCACAATCCAATAAACTATTTTCGATACTGCTAACACCATTGTCGATTTTGATGCTAAAATTTAAAAAAAAAGAAAAGAAAATCATTTAAAAACAAAGAAAAATATCATTATGATCATTACCGAAAAGATTTTGGTTGAAATGTTTTTAATTTTTTATCAAATTCATCGGATGAAATTTTACAACGAATTCCAAATCCACTTTCCGTATGAAAATCATTACAATGACAAAGATTTTTTGAATAATCAAAAATATTTTGACAATATGATATTAATGATCGAGCAATTGGATGTTCGGATTGATTTTCAGCACTCAATATAGCCAAAAATATTTGTTTAAAATAATCAATAATATTTTGATTGATTGAACCAAATAAAAATACTTCGGTAACTTGTGGTGTTCCATATGTTATTGTTCCAGTTTTATCAAATATTAAACAATTAATTTTACAAAAATTTTCCAATGCACTACCACCTTTAATTAATATACCATTCAATGCACCGATACCAGTACCAACCATAACAGCTGTTGGTGTTGCTAAACCTAATGAACAAGGACATGCAATCAATAAAACAGTTATGGAACATTGAAATGCAAATTGCCATATCATTTCGGTTGATGACATTTTTGTATAACGATGTTCAATATTATATGTTTGAATTATATTCAAATGTTTATGACCGATAATAATCCAAACAATTAATGTTAACATTGATAATATAATAACAATAGGTACAAAAATACCGGCAATACGATCAGCTAATTGTTGTATAGGTGCTTTATCAGTTTGTGCTTGTTCGACTAGATCAACAATCGATGCTAATGTTGATTGACGACCAATATGTGTTGCACATATTAATAATGTTCCATTCATATTGATCGATCCACCAATAACCGAAGAACCGGATTGTTTTTTAACTGGTCTTGATTCACCTGTAATCATACTTTCATCTACTGTTGAATTACCATCAAAAACACGACCATCAACTGGAATTTTTGTACCAGGTAATACTTTAATCATATCACCACGTTGAACTAATTGAATATCAATTGACAATTCATTAATAATATTTTTATTCTGATCCATTTCGACTAATATTGCTTCAGTTGCTTTCAATGACATTAAACGTGTTAATGCTTCGGATGTTTTACCGCGTGCAATATGTTCAAGCCAACGACCCAATGATATAAATGTCAATAACATTGGTGGTGTTTCGAAAAATGTTTTCGGACTACGATCAGCACCAATCAACATAAAATATACAGATACGAAAAAACTATAAAAATAAGCAACAGTTGTGGCCAACATAATCAATACATCCATATTTAATGAACGATATTTAATAGCTTTATATGCTTGATAATAAAAATATCTTGCACCATAAAATTGTACAGGTGTTGCCAATAAAAATTGAAGAAAATTTGCTTTCGACCAACCAGATAATAGAAGATGTTCATGGAATGAATGTTCACCAGTCATATGATGTATCATGAGTATCATTGATGGTATAAAGAATGCAAGAGAAAATATAAATGAATGTTTCCAATGTAATAATTCACGATGTTGTTGTTGTCGATGTTCAAATTGTTGTCGTCGATCACAATCCAATGGATATGAATCTAATCCTAATGATTTTATAATTCGTACAATTTCTCTAGCACCAATTTGATCACCATAATATTCAATTAATAATTGATTTGATGATGATGATGAAAATTTGGCTGATTTTATACCCGTAATTTGTTCCAATGATGATTCAATTTGTAATGGATTTAATAATGATAATGATGGTCGTGTCAGACATAATGATAATTCATATAAATCATTATTTAAATTATCATTTTGTTGTTGATCATTTAAAAGTTTTGCATCAAATCCAAGATCAATTATTGATTGAATAATTTGTTTTGAATCAATAAACATTGGATCATAAAGTATTTCAGCTTTTTGATTTAATAATGCAACCAATATTCCATGTATACCATTGATTTTTGATAGATTTCGTTCAATTTTCGAAACACACGATGAACAAGTCATACCGGTAATAGTGATGAAACATTTGTTTAAAAATTTACCGCTTTCCGAATTCATTGGTAATGTTTTTTCGGTTGATATCGATTGTTTCTCAACATCATTTTCGATATTGATTTCAATATGTTTGTCGTTCAATTCTGTTGTTTGATATTCAAAACCAAGACATTCGATTCGATCAAGAATCGAATCTTTTTCGATCAATTCAGATTGATAAGTAACAGATACTTTTTTAGTAATGAGATCAGCTTTTACATTATGAACACCTTTGATTTTCATTAGATTTTTTTCAATATTATCTGTACATGATTTACATGTCATTCCATCAACCAAAATGGTAAATGTTGAATTCGATCCAACAATATCATCGTCATGAATTTCATGATCATCATCATCATCCAATAAACGACATTCGAATCCTAATTCTTCAATTCGTTCGATTATTTTATCAATACGAATAAATTGTGGATCAAATTCTAAAAATGCTTTTCCATCTTCCAAATAGATTTCAATATTAACCGAACCAGGTAATTCGGATAAATTTTTCTTTATCGTATCAATACAAGAATGACAACTAAGACCATCGATTTGTAGCCAATAAATTTTTATATCAAATTCTTTGGTTTGTTCCTAATAATTGTTTACAAAACAACCAAAACAAAACAAAATTACAATTTCAACGTTATACCAAGATCAACCATGATAAACTTACCATTCTTATTTCCACACAATATGTTTTAGTTTAGTTCAGTAAAAAAAAAGTTAACAACAAAAAAGTTCAGGGACAGTGTGTATCACAACAAAATTTTTAAAATGAATGAATGAATTTTCCTCAACAATCAATCAATTCGCGACCATTTCATTTTCATATTGTCCAATTGGTGTTGAATAAATGTGGGCAAGAAAAAGTTCACGCTTTTGTGAACACACATATTTTTGAAACAGATTTTTCATTCATAAACAGATGGGATGTGATGAAAAACGAAGAAAATAAAATGCGAATAAATGCGAATGAGAGCAGAAAAGAGACTCCGCTTTTTTATCATAATCTTTCAAAAATGATGAGGAAGATGTATAAGAAAAGTTTCAAGGACAACACACTTCATGGTCATTTTAGTTTCTGGAACGATTGATAATTTTTTCTTTGTTTTGGATGGACATAGAGAAAAAGAGATTTTCTTCAAATGTCAAGCCTTTAAAATTGACACATTTTATTTTTTATAATAAAAAAAAATATACTTCCTCCCCCTTTGTTTGGATTTCCTCCCCCAGCACATTTTTTTTTGGTATCCAAATTTACGTACTTTACGAATGAAATCGAATTGCAACTGTTGCCATTAATTGTTTGTTGTTTTTTTGGCTCGTTTTTTTTTCTTTTATTTTGCGATTTCAATTCATTTTTTCTTTTTTTTTTATTTTGATTGGTAAAAAACATTAATCAAATATTATTGATGGATTATAATTATCAATCCAGATTAATATCATCTAAAGATGATCAAGAGATTAAACAACAACAATCACTTTGGAAACGATTATGTCGAACATTTCGTATTTTAGATTTTGGATTCTATTGTTGTCAATCAACGTTGATGAATGGTGATTCATCATCATCATCATCATCATCATCATCACCAATATCATCGCCTTCAATGTCCGAATTAACATCATCATTTGAATCAAATTTACCATTAACCGAAGTTACTGTTGATTTGATTGAAAAAACATTATATGGTGGTAATGGACAACGATCAAAAATGCAAAAACGTTTAGGAAAATTGGACATAAATTATGCATCGTTTATATTACATCAGGCTGCTCTTTCACCTGCATCCGTAATATTGGCAATGATTTATTTGGATCGATTGAAAAAAATGAATTCAACATATCTTGATCGTATGACATCATCGGAATTATTTGTTGCATCATTAGTGGTTGCAACAAAATTTTTATATGATAAAGGCGGTGCTGATATGGTTTATAATGATGAATGGGCTACATTTGCTAATATTGATTTAGAAGATTTAAATCAATTGGAACGTGATTTTCTTGATGCCATACAATGGTCATGTTATGTACGACCGGAAACATTTATGGAACAAATGATCAAAATGGAAGGTTTAATATCATTAAATGAATATCGTAAACGTAATCGTAATACAATGACATATATGGAAATGATATCATCATTTAAATATTTACGACATTTTTATGATAAAGATAATGAATTATTATGGTCAAATCTGGTTACATTAATCAATGGAATATTGATCTGTACGGCTGCATATGCAATAGCTATTGGTGTGGTTATTGCATCAACATCATTGGTCGCTACAGCTGTTCATCGAAATCTCAATGATAATGATAATCAAAATCATTCGATTTCTACTTTTATTGTTGAAAATGATCATCGAATTCTATCGGAATTTAATTGGACAACAAATACATTAGGTGATGATAATGATTTACCGATCTCAATATCGAAAATATTTTTATCAACAAAAAATTTTCTAACCATTCGCCATCATAATAAACATCAACAAAATCGAAGAAAATATCCATTATCAAATCATTATCGACAACAACGACAACAGATTGAATGTTTTTGATAATAATTTTATTTTTTCATTCATTATATTTATCCAACAAAAAAACAAAATTGTAATTTAAAACAAATATTGGATAGAAACAAAAAATGAAATTAAAATTTTTTTGTAATAGATGAATCACGTTTCCATATAATTATTGAACCTTTAGAATCGGCTGATGCAAGTAAACTTTCATCATGATTAAAACGAACATCAAGTACTGGTGCTGAATGTCCTTGTAATTTGTTTACACAACGACTTATGGCCAATGTATTTGTATTCAAATTAGGTGATTGATAATGATAAAAATATATACAAGTATCTTCACTACCAGTTACAAGACAAATTCTTGTCATTTTCGCTGTTGTTGATGATTGATTATTGATAAATAGATTATCATCATTACCACTACGATTACTATTCGGACAAAATGAACTTTTAATTTTCATTTGTGAATTTTGATGTTTAATTGGAAAACATTTAAGAAATTCCAATTTTTTATCAATACCCGTACGAAATAAAACGACAGCATTACATGCACAATTAGCCAGTAAAAGATTTTGATTATTATCATTATCAAGTATTGTTGATGATGATAATGATAATGATGTTATTGGACATCCAGGTACAATAATCACTTTGTTTATCAATAATAATTTACAGGTTTCCATTTCAAAATGAAATGTTGAAATAAAACCTTTTGAATCACCACACCAAAGTAATTGATCTTTAGATTCAAAACACATTGATAAAATAGGACCACCATCACTAATAGTAACGGAATTTTTTGAATAAATTCCAGTCGATAGATTTAGAATGTTAACAATACCATTTTGATTTCCGGTAAATATCATATTATTATTAGTTGGTAAAAATATACAGGTAAGAATGGAACATTTTTGTGGATCTTTAAATCGTCGTAAACATTTACCATTCATAGTTGACCATAAATTTAATGTTGAATCACATGAACAACTAACAATCAATTCATTTGATTGTGACCATTCGAATGCAGTAACAGAATCTTGATGTCCACGTAAAATAAACAATATGGTAGCTGGTAATGGTGTCAGTTGACAAATCGATAATGTATGATCATCGGATGCAAAACAAATTAATGAATTATTTGAATTGGCAAATTTTACACAATTAACAGCCGATTTATGTTGATCAAAAATATGATGAACACCGGTAAAGGCAAAATTTTCACAGAATGCAATATTATTATTATTATTATTGTTGTTGTTGTTATGATTATTATCATCATTAACATTTAATGATTGAAATTGTAGATTATCAATATTAACATCCTTATTATGAAGAAGTAGATCATTTGTCATTGTAATATTAGATTTCCAATCACCACCGGAATATGATCGAAGATCATCATAAATAAATGATAGAAAACTACTATCACTATTATTTCGAACATGTTTCCTTAAATTTTTTATAATGATAATAATAATAAATAATGAGAATTTGAAAATTAAATTTGCATAAATCTTACTTTTGTTGTTGTTGTTGTTGTTGATAGAAATTCGATAGTATCGTATGTCTAAGACGTAGATATTGTTTACGAAATGAATTTAATGGCTGTTTACTTAGCTCACGAAATAATTGATTTCGACGTTTTATGTATAGAATTTCTAAATTAACATTGAAAATAAATAAATAAATAGAAAACAAAAACAAAATACTCACTCATATAAGTACAAAAGTAACGTGATGAATTATATTGTACATCCATGGCAATAATATGTTGCCAAAATATTGATGATTCAAGACTAGATTCTGTAGTCATTGATTTTGGATTTGTTGACAAAGTTGCTGTTGATGCTGCTGTTGATGATGGTGATGTCATTTTTTCAGTTTAATTTGAAGAAAAAAAATACAAACCAGAAAATATCAAAGATAAATATTGACGACAACAAAAAAAACAAACAAAATTCTTACAAAATCCTCATATTGACAGCAGCAACAACAACAACAACAAACATTCGAATCAAAATGAGGAAAATGTTTTCGGAAAGAATTTTTTTTCAAGTGAAAAATTTTTTTGTTTTGTTGCATTTTTTGAATTAAAAATCAAAATTTTTTTCATTTATTTCAATTTATTATTTCAGAAATATGGATGGGAAAAGAAAATTTCAATGTGGGAACAAAAAAACTGATTCATAAATGATAAATAAAAAATAATATTTTCTCGAAGGGAAAAAAAGAAACATAGGCCCAAATTGTGATGTAATAAGCTTATGATGATAATGACAATGATGGTAGTTTGTTGTTTTTGTTTCAAAATTATTTGAGGCAAGGGCGAGAAGATGATAGGTTTTTTCTTCGTTTGTACCATTTCAATTAAAATCCAAATTTGTTTTTCGAAGCAAAAAAAAGAAAGTACGTCACGCAAACCAAAAGGGGTGAAAAAAACAGGAGAAAATTTGAATATTTTTTTTTTTTGCTCCATAGTTTGATGATGATAATGATGATGATGAATGGATTCTATGTAAGAAATGTTGTTATTTGAATCTAAATTTGGGAAAAATGAAAACGAACTAAATTGGTCACAAAAACAAAACGACTAGGGACCGGATACGTTATTTGTGTAAATCTATCATATCCGATATGTGTGTGTCAAGTGTGTTGAAACGTTCGATTTTGTTGTTGTTGCTGGATCAATAATGAAATTTCAACAACTAAATTATCAAATTTGGAATTTTCTTTAAAAAAAGAAGAAAAACAAAACAAAACTAATCAAAATTTTAAACTTTTTTTTTTTGTTCATCAAATCATAAAATAAGTGTATGTTTGTGTGTGTAACATGTTTTTTTTTGTTCATCATCTAATTAGGAATTCTATGTTTATTAAGTGTGTGAATTACAATGAATCAACGAATGAATGAATGAATGTATGTATGTATGATAAAATGAAATATATAGTTTGACTATTTTCTTTTGTGTTTTGTTTTTTTAGGAAAAAAAATGTGAGCGTTTTTTCTTATTAATGGTGTGTGTGTATGTTGAAACAATATGAAAAAAAAATTTATAAGATTGGTAAAATAATAAGGTATTCAATATATATCGGGGTTGTTTTATCGTTGGCATCATCATCACCATTATCATCATTATTTGAATGGAATTTTGAATTATCAATATGGAGACTTTGTTTTTCTTTAAGTGAAAATATTGTTTTATCAAATTGGCTGTTATTGGTTGTTGAATGGAATAGGATTTCATGTGAAGAGAAAAAAAAATTCAATTGGTTCCAACACAAGATGTGATTATACGAATATTTTTTAAAATTTAATTTTGCACCCATTTGATTATTTTTAAAAATGATGGGTATCCATTAATAAGAGATGTACGTTTTTTTTGTTGTGATTATGCGTTTGGTTCATCGGTTGAAGCAATATTAGTAGTAGTAGCGGCAACTTTTTCACCACTATCACCACCGGCAGCATTTGAACCGGTAACTTCTTTTTGTTCACCATTTTGACTAACATCCGATGCCCATAATGTTAGATTATCACGCAATAATTGCATGATCAATGTTGAATCTTTATATGAATCTTCAGATAATGTATCCAATTCAGCTATAGCATCATCAAATGCTGTTTTAGCCAATCGACAAGCTCGTTCAGGTGAATTAAGTATTTCATAATAGAATACGGAAAAATTCAATGCCAAACCTAAACGTATTGGATGTGTTGGTGGTAATTCAGTAGTAGCAATTTCACTTGCAGCTTTATATGCAACCAATGAATTTTCTGCTGCATCTTTACGATCATTACCGGTTGCAAATTCGGCAAGATAACGGAAATAATCACCTTTCCTGTATAAAAATAATTTTTGTTAAAAAATTGTCAAAAAAACCAAAAATTTCTTTCATCTACTTACATTTTATAATAGAAAACTTTTGATTCACCATTGGCTGCAGCCGGTATCAAATGTTTTTCTAATACTTCCAATATATCATTACAAATTTCACGTAATTCTTTTTCCACTTGTAAACGATAATTTTTAATCAATTCCAATTTTGATTCACCACTATTTTTTTCTTCTTTTTGTTCAATAGATGATAATATACGCCAACTAGCACGTCGTGCACCGATTACATTTTTATATGCAACGGATAAAAGATTACGTTCTTCAACGGTTAAATCACCATCAACCATTGCAACATTTTTCATTGCATTAACCATTTCTAATCAGAAAAAAAGAATGAGAAAATTAAAAAAAATTAAAAAAATTCAAGGTGGGATGGATGAATGGGAAAAAAAATCAATCATTTTGCTTACCATCATAACGTTCAGCTTGTTCGGCCAATTTTGCCTTATATACACTATCATCACGAGTTTCGGCCATTTTTCTTTTCTTTTTTTTTCACAAAATGAAATACAAATTCAAAAGAATCAAATGTGATTTAAAAAGGAATGATTTTAAAAATGTGTGCGTCAAAATTATGTTTTTTCGAAAAAACACCGGCAAAGGAAATTCTTGACGAACGAACAAACGAACAAAAAAAACGAATTTCGAATGTTTTTTTTTGGCAAACTAAAACAAAAAAATCACAATTCGAAAACAGTTAAGATAGAATTTGCTCACGAAAAAAAAACCACACCACCACCTTTTCTATCGTCGGGTATATGTTATTGAACGATAAATTGGAAAAAAAAACAATCCAAAAAGACTTATTTTTTCTCGAATCAATCAAATCAACCAGAATTCAAAGGATTCATCAAAAAGACATAGGAAAATTGTCGTTTTCGTTTTGTTGTTTGGTTTTTAAAAACAAAAAAAATTAATTCGTCTTTCAATCAATCAATCAAAAAAAATCAATCGTTCAACGACAATTCAATGGCGATGTCAATGATGATGGTGAGCAAATTGATTTCACTTTTGGCAAAAAAAAATAGTTGCAAATAATTTTTTCTTTTTCTTTCTTTTTTTTGAGCGTTATTTCTATCAAACTTTCTCTCTTTTAAAAAGCAAAGATGAGGTAAGCACAATTTTATGGCCTTTCGGTATTGTTAATGATGATGGTGGTGGTGGTGTTTAGTGAGGAATAAAAAAAAAACATTGAACATTTACTCATCATTGATACAAACGAAATAGCAGCAGCAACGGTTAAGCTATTCACCCCCTCCATTCCATAATGAAATACCGCGGAGATGAATATATAAATTATTACTAATTAGTCACAATAGAATGTTTTTTTTGTTTACGTCAAAAGGTAGTGGTATGGATTAAAGTTTGATCAGTATGTTATATATAACAATTAAAAAGTGTAAACAACCAAGCCAGATGAATTAACGTTTATGACCATTGTGACTTTAACGACCAATTTTTTTTTGCCAACCATCATTCCCCCCAATATTATTACATCTCATGGTTGTTGTTTTTTTTCTTCTTTTGAAAATGGAGTGGGAGAAAACAAAACAAAAAAACAATTTTCATTTTGGCTGTTGCGTTGTTTTTACGTCTGGTCATATTATATGTGAATACAACGCCTTTATTTTTTTTTCTTTCAAACGCGCCCCAATATTGTTGAAAAAACGCAAAACAAACATTGGATGAATGATTTTTAATGTGATAGTAGTGGTATATACACTTGTTGTTGTTGTTGTTGATCAAATTCTAATTATTTGAATCGGGGGGGCGAAAGACAAATAAAAAAATAGCTGAAATTTTATGTCGGTCTCGATGTGTACAACAATTGTTGCTAAATTTATTGATTTTTTTCAAAAAAAAAAATTACAATTAAAAAATTCAAAATTTAATGGCGCGCGCGAGAGAGGGAAAAAACATTCAAATCAAAATGGGATCGATTCGATCCAATCGATTGATACAATCGATTGTTTGATGTATCGAACCAAAAAAAAAAAAGATTCGAAATTTATTCAAGATCAAGGTTCTCAGGTAATCTCTTGTCCAAAACCGCAATTAAAAATCCGCAAAAATTGATTGATTGGCGGAAAAAAATTTCACTTCTTTTTTTACTCTTCTCTATTTTGAATTATGATGAAACAAAAATGAAATTAAAATTAAAAATTGAAAACATAAATATCATTATCAATGTGAAAACAAACAAAAAACAAATAAAGAAAATTTCTGATTCGTCATCATTAAATGTGTGTGTGTTTTTGTGTATCATTTTTGCTTCTTCCCATATACTTTTCACACAATCCGGAATCCACTATTCCGATTGAAAATTGGTTGCGTGTGTTGAATGTGTGTGTGTTTACATTTTATCTTCTATTTTTTTTTTCACTCTAGTTTCCGGTTTAATTTCTCTCATATTGATAGAAACAAAAATTGTTGTTGCTGTTTTGTTTTTTTTTTGTTGAAAAAAAACAAACAAAATTTTATCATCTCGTCCGTTACCATGGTCATCATCATCATTATCGATCTAAATAAATATTATTGACATAAAAATAATAAACATTATTGTTGTTGTTAATGATAATCGATCCATTGTAAATGAACGACATTCAATCATTTTATCCATTTCGATTAATAATATTTCTTGTTTATGTTTTGATTGTTGTTGATCCATTGTTATTGATTCATCATCATTATTATCATTATAATAGCACTTTGTTTCTTTCCAAATATGTGACATTTGATTTTTTTCATTCTGTTCGATCCATGTTCGATACCAATTCAATTCACAGCTACAAATAAATGGATTATCTTTGATTTGGTTAGAGAGAAAAAGAAAAAGAAATTATTTTGAAAAACGATTGAAAAACATCATAAAAATGAAAATAGTTACCATGTAAATCAAGAATTGTTAAATTTTTATTCAAAAATTTTTCAAATAATTTTTTTGATAATTTTTTCAAATGATTTGAATTCAAATATAACCATTCCAATGATTCAAATGATTCAAATGCCATATCATCGATTGATTTTATACGATTTTTTTGTAAATATAAAAATTTTATACTTTTACCATATTGGCTAAATGATTCGGATTCAATTGTTTCAATTTGATTATTTTTCAAATCTAATTGTCGTAATTGTTTAATATGTTTCAGTGATTCAGATGGTATCATTGTTAATTGATTATTATCTAATTTTAACCATTCTAATGTTTGTTCAATACCATCAAATGTATGTTCATCGATCATTGATATTTGATTTGATTCTAAATCTAAATAATTCAATGCAGATAAATCGGCAAATATTGATGAATCTAATTGTCTGATTAGATTATTCGCTAGATTTAATGCATCCAAATGTTTTAATTGTTGAAGATTTTTCAATTCCATACGTGTTATCGTATGTATACGATTTTCATGTAATTGTAAACGTTGTAATGATTGTAAATATTTTAATGATTTGGATGGTATACGAGATAATTCATTACCACCAAGATTTATTTGTGTTACGTTCGGTCCAATACCAATAAATGCATGTTCATTGATGGCAAATATACGATTACCATATAATGATAGCCGTAATAATGATACGATACCATCAAATTGTTTTGAATCAATTGTTTCAATTTCATTATAATTTAAATTTAATGAAACTAATGTTGAAAGACCTTTTAATGCTTCAGGTATCTATAATTTTATAATTTTTATAAGTTTTTTTAATTTAAAAAATAGTAATTTTATAATTTTATAATTTTACAAATATTAACTTACTTTTTTAAATTTATTATGTGATAAATCTAATGATTCAATTTGTTCACTGATAGATCGAAAGGCATCTTGATCAACATCAATCATATTACAATTATGTGCCATTAAATGACGTACATTAATATTATTTAATAAACGTGCCGGAAATGAATGAATATAATTATTTTTCATTTTTAAATACATTATTGTTATACGTTGTTGTTGTTGTTGATTTTGATTATTATTATTATTGGATGGAAGTCGATTAAAAATCTCTTTGAGCGTTTCTAATTGTACACCTTCACAGATAATTTCTAAACCTTTTGTTATTTCATTACAAAGACATGGTTTGATTAATGATCGTACTGGACAACTATTTTCATTTCCATTCATCAATAAATTTTTACCACCACTACCACCACCATTATTATTATTATTATCAATTGCCTGAATAATTGTTGATTGTAAAAAGCAATAATATAAAATAATGAACCAAATTGATGATGATATTGTTGAATACATTGGTGTATGTTGTTGTTGTTGTTGTTGTTGTCCAAGGCTTTTGGTGATTTTCAATGATAAATTCTGTATATTAAATATTGTAAATGAAAATTTTTGCCGCATTTTTGTAATTTGTCTGGTGATATGATCGCAATGAAAAAAATAATGAAGGCCGAATGATAATGACGGAAATTTAATGTTTGATCAAAGAAAGGGTGAACAAAAATTAACAAGGTGAATAATGATGATGATTAAAAAAAAACAACGAAAAATTCAACGAAGAAAAAAATTTTTGGCTCGGGTTATATATTTTCCATGTTGTTTTTCTCAGGTTTTATTGGATCATTCCTATATAGTGGTTTTTTTTGCAAAAAGAAACCCGAGAAAATTTTGGATGCTGCGCTTATGAAATTTTTGTTTTTTTTGGATCCAGATATTCCAACCATCTTTTTTCATTCATTTCCAAAAAATGGATTCTTTTCGAAAATGGAATTATATAGAATTTAATCTGGTGGCGGTATGTTCAGTTTGGAATATCTGATGATCAATCAAAACGAAACCCATTCAAATTTTTTAATGTTTTTTTTTAGTAAAAAATAATTTATTTAAAAAGAAAGAAATTCCGTTTCGTTACTGACATTAAGAAAAAAAATACAAACTTATAAGATTTTATAATATAAAAAAGTGGCTTTTTTTGCAAAATAAAAAATATTAATTTTCAACCAAATCAACAAAAAATAATATGATTTTTCCATTTTCTGCATCTCCTTTTTCTTCTATGAATCAACTTTCAATTCTTCTATAAGATCATAAAAACTAGTGACAAACCATTTAGCTTCTTTTTTAACTTTTTCACGAATCTGATTACCACCGAATCCAATGAATGCATCCTAAGAATTGAAAGAAAAGAAAAATTTCAATCAATTTTCAATTTGGAAAAATAAACAATTTTCGCAACTTACAGCAGGTGGACATGCTTCCATATCGGTAACACCATCACCAATAATTGTAACCATACGATATTTATAACGATTTTTTAAATATGCAATAACTTTTGCTTTACCATGTTGTTGACATGTTGGTTCAGTTTCATCAAAACCGGCATAATTTCCATCATAAAAAAATTTTATCCGATTTGCATAAATATTTTTATATGGAATGTGTAATTCTTTGGCAACTGGTTCAATTATTGAATAAAAACCACCCGATACTAAATAAACGGCAACATCATTTGCATGTAATAATGATACTAATTCTCTGAAATAATAAAGGTTTTTTTATAAGTAAAAGTTTACTTTGTAAAAAAAACAAAAACAAATTTACTTAATTCCCGGTGTAAATCTTGGTGGATGTGTACGTAAATAATCATTAATCATATCAACTGTTGGTTGAATTAATTGTAAACGTTTACTTAATGCATCATGAAAACTACAACCACCACGCATTGCACGTCTTGTCCTAATTTTTTTGAATTGTGATTATATAATTTTTTGAAAATTGATTAAAAACAAAAACTTACATTTCCATAACCTCTTTTTCTTTATTTGCAAATTTAGCCAATTCATCGATTGCTTCATCACGACAAACAGTTGAATCAACATCAAAACAAACAGCATCCGATGAACGAAATATTTGTCTTAATGTATTTTCATCCAACAACATATTAACACCATTATTACCATTGGTAATTGTTGCCATTTTTTTTCTTATAAACTATAAAATGAATCAAATCAATTCAATTCGATCAATGATCCAAATATTTATACACACACACACAAGTTGTCTGTGTGCCTGTGTATATAAATAACTTACCACCACCACCACCGATGATAAATTCCAATGTCCAAATAATTCGGTCACCGTTCTTATCGTCGTCGTCGTTCGTAAAATGATGTTGTTTTTTATTGATGCAAAGTTGACAATCTTTGTTGCTTTTTTTTGTTCGTAATGGAAATTTGAAACAACCAAATCGATGGGTTTTCACTGATGCTTTCTAATGACGTATATAATAATGATGATAATCTTCTGTTAAGATTGGATTTGATAAAATTGTTAATTTTATTATTTAGAAAGAAAGAAAAAGTTTGCTTCGTTCATTTTTTGCTTTTCGAATGCTGTTTAATGTGTCATCGACACTTAAACCGATGTGTAACCGCGATGGTTGGTTGACATGATAATATAATTTTTGTTTGTTTGTTTGTTGTTTTTGTTTTTTTTTTTGTTCAATGGACATTATTCGATGTTGATGATAATCAACATTCGAATGTTCTACATTTTCCCGAAAAGATTTCTTTTCTTTCGAAATTGAAAACAAAAACTTACATGATATTTTCGATCCAGAAATGAGCAAAATGTCGAAAAAGATTCTTTTTTTTAGAATTCTGCTACCGTCTGTCCATGATGATTGACGATGATGATTATGATTATGAGTGTTGATTTTGAGATTTGAAAAAAACACTAAGAAAAAATTTTTGTTTGATCGAAGAAAATGATTTGAAAACAAAAAATGATGAAAATCAATTCAATATATACAAATTGATTGATTTTGTTCTTTTTTTTTCGGTGGAAAACTTATTACCATTTGATGATGATGATAATATTTTTCTGTCTCGATAATATTTCAATTAATCGGCTGTCATTCTGTATTTCTTCGTTAAGAATTTATAATCATTTCAATCAAATCAATCAATCAGACCACATATATGTGATGATGATGATGTACTACCACCACAACAACCACCACCAAAAAGTAAAAAAGAAATCTTTGATTATCTTGATTTGATGATCATTTGATGATCATTTTTCCTTTTCTTTCATTCAATTGAATCATCATCATCATCAAATAATGATCCAATCATATCATATCTTCAGGTTTTTTCAATTTGCAAATTTTTTTTTGTTGGCCTCACTAAAAGAAAAACTTTCTCTCTGTTCGTTGCTGTTGTCGTTGTTTCAATTTTTCTTTCTCTTAATTGATGATGTCAATGATTAGGTAGGCGTATCGATTTGTAAACATTCGATGTTTGATGTCGTTTGACTACTTTTTTCTCTCCTATTTTATCTTATTTACCATCGATCGATTGTAGGCGTAGTGGTTGTCTCTTCGTTTATCGTCGTCGTCGTTATCATTGATTTAATCGATTCGATTTGATTTTTTTCGTTTTTGGATTTACTTTGATTCGAAAATTTTATTTATTTGCCACAGAAAATTTGTGTAATCCAAAATGACGTCATCCGACAACAACAACGATGATGATAAGTATCTCTTCCTTATGGATTATATGATATGCCGAAACAACAAAAAACAAAAAAACAAAATCGATGACATTTGTTTCATTTGATGATGATGAGGATTATGATGATTTTATAAACCAAAATCAAAGGTCAACGATATATATGTTTCAGTCGAAAAAACAAAACACAACAAAACAAAATAAAACACAATCGGTTTATGATGATCAAAGTCGAAATCATTTCATACCACTACTCTCTATCAACATCATAATTTTTTTGTTTTTCTAAAAATAAATTTTTTTTTATTATAATTATCATCATCGTTCGGGTATTGCAATTAAGCACACAGACAGAAAAACAAGCGGGGAAAAAAGTAAAAAAAAAAATATAAACAGATTCAGATTTTGATATTGCCTTTCAAAAATCACAAGATCATCAGATTTACAGATTAATATTTGTTCGTAGTTTTGGTAAAACAAATACTGTTGATGAAATCATTTGACCAATGTAATCAATTTTAATTGAATGTGTAATTGTTTGTCGATTTTGTACACCAATATTCGATGTTAAAATTGATAATGAATTTGAAACCAATGGATGTACCATAATATCTAATTTTGGCAGAACAAGTTGACCACATGTAAGTGGAAAAAATATAAACATTTGTTCGATTATTGAACGTGATGGTAGAATGATTTTTATCTATTCGAGAGATAAAGAGAGAGGGGGAAAAAATATCGATTATTGATTACGATTAATCGATTTTTTTATGTTACTTACTTGTCGATTTCCGGCAATCATAAAATATTCTGCCTGACCAATATGTAATTCAAGATTAACATCAACATCTAAACGACTAGTAATTCGATATTTAGCCATAAATGGATTACGTGCATATAATTTATCCGGTAAAAATAATTCAATATAAATTATAGCCGGTATAATTGTTATTGATGGTAATTGAAATATTGTTTCCGATAATATTGGATTGATGGTAGTCGTAGCAGAAGCAGCAGCAGCATCAACAGATTGAGATTTTCGATGCCATCGTATTGACCATGATCCTAATGAATGCGGTTGTTGCTGTTGTTGTTCGGATTTAATACAGGTCATTATATATGAATCGATAGATGTTGTTAAATCTTTTGTTAATAACATTGGTAATTTCATCATTTCTTGTGAATTTATTTGAAAATTTTCACTGAAATTTGAACTAATTGAATCAATTTCAATTGAATCATCGCCAATGTTATAATAGCCATCTTGTTGTTGTTCATCATTATCATCATTATTCTTAGGTAAACGTAAATAACAATTCAATCTAAATGGTTCATCAAATCGTATGATGGATGTATCGGGATTAGCAAAATTAGTAATTTTAGCTACAAATTGAAATGGTTCAATAACATTGATAGATTTTTGAAAATTTTTCGTTATCGAAATTGTTGATTGTTGATCAATTTCATTATTATTATTATTTCTTTTGATTATTAAATCATAATTAAATTCAAATGATAATAATTTTGTTCCAAGATCTTGTGGACAAAATATAAGATTTATGATAATTTCATCATCACCATTATTGCGACAAGGTTCAATTTGTTCGGCTATTAAAATATCCGAATCAAATGGAATTGGTTCGATATCATCATTTTTTCGAATGAACCATTTATCATTCGAATCGGTTGTCGTCGTTGTCGTTGCAACAATGTTGGTATCAATATTGGTTTCGGTAGCAGCTATAGCCACTTGTTGCTGCTGCTGCTGTTGTGTTATAATTTTTGGTCGTAATTTTAAATTACTAATAACATGATGTTCCTGTGATTGTAATCGTAACCGAATCGATGCATTTTCATTACGAAATAAATATTGTTTCATTTCAATATCAATTAATTTTAAACGTGATTCTAATTCTAATATTGTTGCTTCAATTTGTTGATCAATTTTATTAAAACGAATTGAATCATTTGTTATCGATATGATTGGTGATATTGTTGTTGAAATCGATATATTATAAAGCCATTGAAAACGTATGGAAATTTTTGATTTCAATATGAATGCTATTTCACTGATTTTAATACGTGAATATTGTCGATCTGATGGCAGTAATTGTAAACGAAATTTAAATAAATTTAATGAATTTGGATAAATTATCGGTTGCTGTTGTTGTGATAATAATTGACATTGTTTATCAAAATCAGGTATTTCAAATTTTATCTGAACATCAATCGAATCAAATTGTTCATCAAGTTGATTAAAAATAGCAACCATAATATTGATATCATCTTCAATTGTATATTGTTGATGATCAAATTTAACTTTACATTTAAGAAAATTTATTTCATGATCTGAATTGATTAAAATTTCATTATTACTATTTGATTGTGGCAAACCATTTCGATCGATTTCAGCCAATTTTAATGGCCATTCTGATTCAGCTTTGAATAAAGTTTTTTGATCAATAATTTTTTCAAAATCTTCATCATCCAAATGATATTGTTGAAATTCTAATCGTAAAAAACTTAATAATGATTTCAGTAGTAAACTTTTACGTTTTAAATCAACAATATCATTCGATATATATTCGATTGTACATTTACAAACATTAACAAAATCCATTGATAAATAAGCTGAACATAGTGCAAATTTTGCTAAACGTTTATGAATCGGTTTCCAACGTTCTTCACGATAATAACCCAAAATATTACCAAAATAATCTAATGCATCATTATAATTAGCTTGTTGAAAATATTCCATACCAATTAGATACATAACAAAACGCATAAAACGTGGTTTTTTAAATTTTTTGATCTGATTCAATACATTAATATAAAGTTTTATCAATAATGGTGCTAGATCAATTTTCTGTTCAATATAATAAAAAATTTTTACATAAATATCATTCGATTCATCTGGTTGATACCAATTTAATTGACCAATAAATTCGGATTGATTTTGTTGTAATAAACGTTCAGCATAGACAATTTCATCCGTATTTAATGCTAATGATAATTTGAATTTTTTACTTGATTCACGACGTTTTATCATATACATTGCTGATTCAAAATAATAAACACCTGGATTCTGTGATGATGATGGTGATAAATGTAACATTGATATTGACATATCGAATAATTCACCAAACAGGAAAAATTGATTAGCAAGCCATGCATAATGTTCAAATTGTAAACGTTCATCATCGGCAAAACGATTCTGAAATATATCGATATGTTTACGAAAATATGAAATAGCATCCAATGGAATGTTTATATAGAATGATAAACGTATAATTTTATAATTTAAAATTGTTGCTACATTTTTGATTTCGAATAAATTTTTCGATGTTAAACGTATTTCCATTAATGATGCATATGCATTTTTATAATGTACTAATGCTTGATTATAAATTTGACGAATTTCATGATAAAATCCAAGTTTAAATTCATGTCGTACAAACAGGTAATTTTGTGTTGCTTTATTTAGCTGATCACGATATGATTTAATCTGTTTAACTTTAACAGAAAAATGTTGTTTAACCAAATCATTCAATGCTAATTCAATACGAATTACATATGCTGGTATTGATTGTTCATCTTGAATCGGTATGATGAATAATGATTTTGGATTAATATCACATTCTTCACAAAGACGTGCTGCTTGATCTTTATATTGATTAGCATCAGGATCTTGATGACAAGTAATTGGTACTGGTTCACTTTGTAATAAAATTACAGCAATTTTTACCTGACGATTTGTTAATGTTAATTTTAATGAATTTATTTGATCAATTAATCGATGACGATCGAATTGTTGCCAATCGGGTAACAATGCAAACACAGCTACCAATGATGGTATTTCAAACAAATGTTTATTCAACCATTTAGTTTTGATTATACCGGTAGGTATATAACGATCATATGATCGCTAAAAAAACAACAATTATTTAGATAATGAAAATTTTTAAAAATCCAAAAAAAAAACAGATTATAAATTACTAACCCGATGTTTAGATGATGGAAATTGATGATCATTATTTAATAATTTATAATATAAAACTGGTCGATCAGCTGTACGATTAATAGCAAAACTATTCCATATTAATGAATGTATTGAATTATTCGCGGCATCTAATCCAATCAACGATATATATGGTACCGGATTAACGGATATTTCTTCGGGAATATTATTATTATTATTCATTATGGTTTTTGACAAGAATTTTAATTCTTAACGTGTCGCCTTTTTTGTTCGAATAACAAAAATTATGACCCGTTATTTTTTTTTGTTCCTATTTCCACCTGACCAAATGTGTGTGTTCGAATCGAATCGAAAACAATCGAAATAGTTTTCAAAATTTTCAATAAATATTTTTGTTTTCTTTTCAATCAAAAATTCTGCAATTTTTTAAGAAAGTATTAAAAATGAAACAAGAATTCTTATCATGATTATTGTTTAGATATCAATATAACCGAATGAAGAAAAAACAACTATAGATCAAGGTAAACAACATGTGTGTTTGTTAGATTGGTCATTGCCTTGATTATTTTGTTTCAATGTTTGATTCATTCATCAACCATTTGAAATATAGGAAATGATTTTTTTGATTCTTAAAAATTTGTTTTTAGCCATGAAAAGTAAACTTAAACGCACTTAAACTTAAATATCAATATTGATGTTTGAACAACAACAACAAAAAAGGTGGAGTTTGCGTCATCAACAGAGCCGTCGTCGTCGTCGATAGTCGATAGTCGACGACGATGAATTGGCAGAAAATAATTTTTATTTTTCAATCAAATGATGAAATCATATATTAATGGTCGATTTGTAATTGATTGGTGATTCTCAATTAATTTACAAAATTTTCTGATTTTTGAATTTGAATCAAAAAGAAAAGAGAAGTTCGATTGTTCCAAAAAACAAACATTCGTGCATTATATATCGATTATAATCGATAATTGTTGTTCATCATCATTCGAATTCGAATTCGAATGTCCTGCGATTGTTTTTGTTTTTGTTTTTTGTCGTTGAAGAAAAATTGTTCCAAATCCCATTATAATCATAATGAATAATAATCAAGAACGTTATGAAGTAACACTTTATATTTATGATCTATCCAAAGGTATGGCCAGATCATTATCGACATTATTTTTAGGTAAGTTTTCGATTTCCGGTTATTTTCTTTTTAATTTAAAGTACCGTTTTTTATTTCTTTGAAAATTCGTTAAAGGTCGTGAAATTCCGGCCATTTGGCATACATCAATTGTTGTTTATGATCGTGAATATTTTTTCGGTGGTGGTGGAATTGAAAGCTGTATAGCTGTAAGTTTTTTTTTCTTCTCTCGTTTAAAATGATTTTTTCAAATTGATAATTTTCTTCAAACTTTTTTTCCGGGTAATTAATAAGGGTTCATGTCAATTAGGACAACCAGATCAAATGCTGTCATTAGGTTATACCGAAGTATCATATAATCTATTTCTTGAATATCTTTTTTCATTGGGTGAATCAACATTTTCGTAAGTAGTGTTTTTTGCTGTTCATCTTGATCAGATTCCTGCCTAACGATATGTTTTTTATTTATTTTTTTAAAAAATAACAGACCCAGTTCATATCAAATATTCGAAAATAATTGTAATAATTTTTCAAATGAAATTGCCCTATTTCTTACTGGTAATGGCATTCCAGATGAGATATTGAACCTACCAAATGATTTTCTTTCAACGTATGTATTTACACTATATAAATTATATAAGGGGAAAGGTGAAAAGAGGGAGGGTTTTTTCCACCACCAACAAAACACACCCACAATATTTAAACATTAGCGATTAGCAAACAAATTCTTTCATAATGATAATTTTTTTTCAAAAAAAGAATTTCTATATTTATACATTTAAAGTTATAACATTTTGATGATGATGACAGAAAAAAAAGAAAAATTTCTTCGAAAACAACATGATGATAAGGAACAAATAACAGAATTGCTAGACAATGTGAAATCCTATTCCCATTTAAAAATCATCATGTAATGTTGTTGTTGTTGAGAGTGAAAGAAAAAAGAATATTCTATTCATAGAATAATATTCTGAAATGCAATGAAAAATAGAGAAATAAATTTAAAATTAAGATTTTCTGTTTTTTGTTCTCTTTCTCACTTTCACTTCCCCAAAAAAATCACATTGAATTGGATCGATTCCAAATGTTTTGGAAAAAATAGTGATTTTTTTTTTTGTTCAGATTTTCTTACATTTTTTTCTCGTCAGTGTTTTGTGTGTGTGTGTGTGAAAGTTTTTTTTTCAAAATTGAAATTTATTTTTCGTAATTTGTTGTTTTCTACATGATTTCAGGCCAATTGGGCAAACATTTCAACAATATTTCAATTCAGTAACAATACGACCAAAAGGTTCGGGTGTACGTTTCTATAATCCGGACGTTTGTGACGATAATAATAGTAATAAACAACAAATTGAAAATAAAATTCCCGATTCATCATCATCATCAACAGCATCGACAACGAAGACGATAAAATCTGTTCCAGTTAAAGAATTAGATAAATCAAAAATGTCTGATGATCAATTGGAAAATAGTGTTAATAATGTTGAAAATATTGATAATGGTAATGATGATGATGATGATGGTGGTAAAATTACCGGTGATAAATTTACAACATCAACATCAAGACGTTCATATAAATATGAAGATCCACCAATTACATTCAAAGATATTGATGTAAGCATTATTATATTTTGATCTCTTTTTTTTGATAATTGCAAATCTATCATTTTAAATTTTTAAAATCAGGGATTAGCAGCCATACGTAAAGTTGAGGAAATGGTATTCACAATGTTAAATCCGGAACAACAACAATGTTTAAAAGAAATTGATGAATATTTACAATCAGAATCGGGTGCCTGGGCTATTGGTGATGAACATTTGGATCTTATTTCCTTTTTACTCAAGTTAGTTTTTTTCAGTGTGGTTTTTGATGAATTTGAATTTTGAAAAATTTAATTCTCCCTGAAATAGCGGTGGTGATGGAAAATTTGCACCAAATGTAACATTATTAACATTAGAAGTACTACAGGCTGCATCATTAAAAGAAGATGTTGTTCTTATTCTACATCAGGATCGTAAAGATCATCGTATAATGAGCTATATAAATCGTATCGAAAATTTAACACTTGCTGAGCAGGAAGAGATTGTTAAATTATTATGTAATCTTTGTGGACAACCATCAACAATCGATTGGCTAATGTATATTAGTGAATGGTTTGAAGAAAATGGACAACCAAATAGTAATTCACGTGTTACAATTCGTGCAGCCGTACATACATTGCTCAATGATCAATTAACAACATTACAACGTAATGGTGTTTATCTTATTTATAATCTATCATTGAAAGAAGTTTTCGAAGATGTTTCAATTGAATTAGCTACAGCTGTATTGCAATATATGCATAGTGATTTACCGGATGATCAAGCATTGCTTTGCTTGACGGCAATAACACGATTTATTGAAATTAGTCCAACAGATGTACCGGCATTGATTAAAATGCTTGGACCTGATCTAAACAAATATAAAGGAAAAAATGAAAAAATGGATAAATTACTTGCAATGATTGATGAAAAAGTGGCCAAATTACCATCATTTTCTTAAATGTTTTTATCTTGACAATTTTGTTACAACAAATGAATGTTTTTTCTATTATTTTGATGATTGAATTATTATTATTATTATTATAACTATGCCTTATATTAATTCTGAATATGATTTTGTCTGTTTTATTGGTTATTAATTTTTTGAAGAAATTTTTTGAAAAAAATTGATAAATCGGATCACTGGATGGCAATATGTATGATTTTTTGAAATGAATACAATGAACGCCATCTTTTGATTTGTTTAGGTTGAATAATGATAAAAACATTCCGAACAAGTGTGTTTTAGTTCAAAACAAAATTTGATGTATTTTTTTTTTATTTTGTTTATTAATTGTTTATATTCTTTATTTTTTTTTAAATTGATTCTATCAGTATTAAAATTAATAGGAAAAAAACATGTCAGAAGATACTGAAATGGATTCTATTGTTGATAATATCAATAATGTGAATGATGAAAAGCAAATTGAAGAAATTTCGATTGATAATTTGACAAACATCGATGATCAACAATCTGATAATAATCATAATGATTCATCAACAACAACGATGAATGAACCATTGAATAATGATCAAGATATTGATCAATGTTCAATGGATTCATATGATTCGGATGATGATGATTGTACATTTATTGATAATATGTTAGAAGAAAATGTTGATATTGAAGCAATAAAACGTTGTGAACAGGTTAAACGTAAATTGGATGATTTAGATGTTGAAGATCAAGTCAATCAAACTAAACAATCATTAGAATCAACAACAACAGTCACTAATAATAATAATACTGCTGCTGCACGTGTTCCAACAAAAACTGGTAAAAAACGTGCAGCTAAATCACGAATCGAAACTAAACAGAAAAATATTCTAGTCAGTAAGTGCTTTTTTCGTTCGAAGTTATTTTGTTGTGAATTTAATCTATTTAATGAAATTGTTTAACGAAAAAATAGAACGTGGTCATGATCTATTTGAAATTCTACCCGAAGGTTGGGTAGAGATAACACATTTTAGCGGTATGCCAATCTATCTGGATAAACGAAGTCGTGTTTGTACATTATCTAAACCATATTATCTTGGTTCAGGTAGTGCACGTGTAAGTGACTTTTACATTTATTTTTTTTTTGAATGGAATTTTTTTAAAAATGTTTTTCTCCAAACAAAACACAGAAACATCATATACCATTATCAGCTATACCATGTTTACAATATAGAAATGAATTGGAAAAAGAACGTAAAGCACGTGAAGAAATGGAATTGAAATGTTTAAATAACAATAATGATAATGAGGGTGATGGTGAACAACAAACCCAACAAACACAACAACCGATTGCCAAAGTTGAAACACTTGAAGAAAATAAAAAAGAACGTTCACTTGATTCGATCAAAATACGAGAATATTGTCGACGATTATTTGAATTCAAAACGATTACAGTGAAAAAATTTACGTTAGTTTTCTTTTTCGTTTTGTTCTTTGGTTTGAATTTGAATTCAATTTTTTTTTTTGTTTTTTTTTTGTTTCTTAGAAATTGGGCTGATCGCCGGAAACATGAACAATTGAAAAAAATAGCTCAACGACCATCATTGCCTGAATCGACAAAATTAATTACCTGTACGATACCGAAAATAATACCGAATAATAATAATAGTACGGCTGGTACCGCAGCTCAGACACTTGTCAGTAAACCATTTAAAAAAGGTTTGTCCAAAAAAAAAATTTTCTCAGTTGAAAAATTATATTGATTTTGATTTTGTTTTGATTTATCGAAATAAGAATTCATTATGAATCCAATGGGAAAATCAGATATTTGTATTCTACATGAATATGTACAACATACTGAACGTACACAACCAAAATATATATTCGAAGAACTTGAAAATGTTAGTAAACCATATTGTGCAACAGTTTTTATTAATGATATGGAATATGGTAAAGGTTATGGTAGTAGTAAAAAAGAAGCAAAAACTGAAGCAGGTAATTTTCTTTAAAAGAAAAAAAAATTTGAAAACAAAAAACTGTAATTCTTTAATTATTTTTTTTTACAGCACGAATCAGTCTTGATATATTAATACCGGATTTAAAAAATACATTAAATCAAGAACAAAATAAATCAGAATCATCATTAAATGATTTAAAATTTTTTGATACAATTTCTATTGAAGATCAACGTGTTAGTGAATTATGTTTAAAAGCTGGACAATATTCACCATATCAGATATTGGTTGAATGTATTAAAAGGTTTGTTTTTAGTTTTGTTGATCCTCTGATGTTAATGATTCTTGTCTAATTCTTTGGGTAGATTATATGGATTTGAAGATTTGGACATAAAAACCGATACTAAAATTGTAAAACATCATAAAATTGAATTTAAAATGACAGCCGGTACACATGAAGCTATTGTAATTTGTAAAAATAAACGTGAAGGTAAACAACGTGCTGCACAGAAAATTTTAAAAAGTATACATCCACAATTAAATTGTTGGGGTGCATTACTTAAATTATATGGACAAGGTTCATGTAAAACATCCAAAGAGAAAAAGGTAACATTTTTTTTCATTTTTTTTTCTTCAAAAATTAACACTTTCCTATCAATTATCAGGAAGAAGCACAAAAAATAACTGAATTACAAAATAATGCCTGTTCAAATAAACCAAATTATGCAATTTTAAATAAATTAAAAGAAGAAATGCTTAAACTTCATGATGAAAATGGTAAACAACAACAACAACAACAACAATTATCATTACCTGCTATATTAAATGCAACAGTTGTTGGTCAATGTGGTAAAAATGTTAAAAATCGTAAAGAAAAATTTCAAAGATCATCACAGAATTTATAAAGTAGAGTGCCTCCTGAAATGATTTAAATCAAGACTTTCCATTAAGATAAAATCAATTGAGAGAAAACTTTTTGCATGAACATTCTAAATATTTAATCGTATTTTTCGATACAAAAATTTTATTTAATTTTTGAAAAAAAATGAATTTTTTTAGTTTTTTCTTTTAATAAAATTTAATTTTTTCAAATTTTAAAAAAAATATCGATTGTTATCACTATCGATATTCGATGACTCATTTTGATTTCATCAATAACTACATTTCATAGTACCACTGCCCTGTGAGTATTACTACTACCACCACCATCATCATTCACATAATAAACATTCAAGCATTTGGCAACGTTGACATTAGTGGTTGATTAGCAAAGAAATAAAACCGACAGACATCAAATCGGCTGCCTTGTGCATGCATATTTTTTTTTATTTGTTTGCCGACAACGATTACGACTACGACGACAAACAAACAAACAAAAAACTGGGCAGAGACAATTGAAATGAAATGAAAAGAATTGAAAAAAAAATTGAAATTTGATTCGAACAAAAAAAAAATTTATTAAATTAAAATAATTTTAAAGTGTGTGTCTGCTGTGTGTGTGTTTTACTAATCATCATCATCAGTGTAATTTTCGATTTTACTTTACCCAAACAAGAATTTCTTCATCGTTTTGGTTTTTGAAAAAAGTTTTGGGCGGCTTTTTTTGTTCACTGGTGTTTTGTGTTTTTAAAAAAAATTTGTTGTTGTTGATTCTATTTTTTTCGAATCAATATTTTTTTATCATTCGAATTATCGATCCATTTTCTACGATTGGGTGGGAGGGCGAAAACTAAAAAAAAAAATTCGGTAAGTTTTGTAAAAGATGCATTACTTTTTTAGTTAAGTTTGACACACCTACCAACATTGCATCTTTTTAGTTTTCATATGATTTTGTTTGTTTGTTTGTTTTTTTTCGTTGAAAAATTTGTTTTCCCAATTTGGTGCTATGCCAGTCACATCATCATCAATGATCATTGTCGGTAATTATTTTCAATGTTGAATGTTTTTTTTTCTCGACATTCATTCAGTGGCTGTGTGTATAGCAACATTGGCACATTATAACAATATGATAATCATTTGAAGAAAAAAATGGGGGGAAAGAAATAAACTATTTTTAGGTTTATTCAGGTCGTCATCGGGTTTAACATCTAATAATAATAAATAAATACATAATACATCTATGATCATTTTCATCAATTTTAATCATTATCATCATCATTTTCCATTATTTATTGTTCATCATCATATTTGGTTTCAAATCGATTTTTCTTCTTTGACTTCGATTTATCATCGATGAATGAATGATGATCGTATTATAATATCGAATCGAAATGAAAAAAAACAACATTCGAATCGATTGTATATCGATAGTATCGACGTTAAACAATAGTCATCAGAAAATTTTTCTAAAAATATAAATTTTTTCATTTTTTTAAAAAAAATATTCATGTTGTAATAATGATAATGATTAGTGTTTTTTTGTAAATCTTTAAATCCTCTCAACTTTTTTTTGAAAAAAGAAAGAAAATTGGTGCCGATATTTTTATTTTTATTTTTTTTTGCTGTTGCTTGTTTGTTTTTCCAATTGATTTGTTTGATTATTCTTTTTTCTCTCTTTTTTCTCTAGCTTGTTATCGCTCTATTTGTGGTTATATAGTCACTCTGTATTTAGTAATAATGATGATAATTTTGTCATCGTTTTGGTTATAATTGAGGCTAAATGATTTGAAGAAGAAGAAAAAAAAGTTGGATTTCCTGCTTCACCAGAAAAAAAGCAACAGAAAAAGAGAGAAAAGGATAGGCGAAACCTAGATGATAATAGGCAGCCACTTGACAATTGTCGTATAGATAACAAATTTTTTTTCTGGGTGATTTTTTTTCAATTCCTGTTTTGTGTTTCGATTAGAAAATATCGATATCAAACAAACAGCAAAATACTAAAAAAGTGTCAACATTGCTTTTTCTATTTAAAGTTGATTTGAATTTTCCAAAAATAATAATTTTTGGTGACAAAAAAAAACTTTTTTTTTGAATTTCATTCGAATTCAAATGTCACCATCATTGTTTGTTTGTTTTTGTTTTCGTTTCTGGTGAAATGATAATGAATTTTCTTAATTGGTTCTACAGAATTTGCTCGCAGTGATTCTCAAATTTTTGTTTGATTTTTGGTTTCTTTTCGCCTGTTGAATTTCGAATGTGTGAGAATCACCGATCGTTTTTTTTTTTTTTTTTGATTGCATCAAAACAACAACGTCAACAACACACCCATATTATTATTGTTATTATTAGGCCATGATTATTTGTGATAACCATGAAAATCATTTTTTTTTTCTCGTTTGTTTCTTGGATTTATACCAAAAAAACAAAACAAAATCAAATAAATTTACATCGTGTATCGTGATTTGATTTTTTCTTTTTTAAATGTCTAAATCTAAACAAGAATAAAGTTTGTCGTTCTTGAAGCAAAATTGAAAATTTTGTGTTTTTTTTTTGTCCTCGAACAATTTGCGGTTAACACTTATTTAAAAAATATTGTTTGTTTTTTTCTGGTTTGTTTTCCAGGTGAACAGATTTGTTTTGAAGGCAAAAAATAAATAAATAGAAATCATGGCATCACGTGGTATTGTACGGGCAAGTAAATTTCGTCATGTTTTTGGTCAAGCATTAAAACGTGAAAATTGTTATGATAATATACGTATATCGAAAAATTCATGGGATGGTAATTTTTGTGCTGTAAATCCAAAATTTGTTGCCATTGTTATTGAAGCGGCTGGTGGTGGTGCATTTTTAGTTTTACCATTAAAACAGGTAAGAAAAAAAAGATTTATATTTTGATGAAATAATTGAAGATGATTAATGGAAAAGCAATTTCTTTTTTTTTCTCGCATATATAGCCTGGACGTGTTGATATTAATCATCCATTAGTTGCCGGCCATAAAGGTCCTGTATTGGATATTGCTTGGTGTCCATTTAATGATAATATTATTGCCAGTTCATCGGAAGATACAACAGTTAAAGTATGGCAAATTCCTGATCATGGTTTAACACGTACATTAACTGAACCTATTGTTGATCTTGTTGGTCATCAACGTCGTGTTGGTTTTCTTGCCTGGCATCCATCTGCTAATAATGTTCTATTATCAGCCGGTGCTGATTGTAAAATTATTATCTGGAATGTTGGTACTGGTGAAATATTATCAGCTATTTCATTACCTGATTTAATTTTTCATGTATCATGGTGTTGGAATGGTTCACGTATTGTAACAACAACAAAAGATAAAAAAATACGAATATATGATCCACGTACTGGCGATTTGGAACAGGTTTGTAACTAAAGTTTTGTCAAATTTTGTAAAACTAATTTTTTTTTTTAATATCGTTATTCATATTATAATAGGAAGGTGAAGGTCATGATGGTGCTAAACCACAACGTGCCATCTATCTTCGTGATGATCTTATCTTTACAACAGGATTCTCTAAAATGAGTGAGCGACAATATTCATTACGTAGCGAATCTGATTTGAAACCATTGATTTTGGAAACATTAGACACTAGTAATGGTGTTTTATATCCATTTTATGATCCGGATGTTAATCTTTTATATCTTTGTGCTAAGGTTTGATTTGCTTTTTTTTGTTGGTAATTTTTTTTCATTTCCTATTTATTTACAGGGTGATAGTAATATACGTTATTTTGAAATCACCGATGAAGCACCATTTGTTCATTATATAAATACATACCAATCAAGTGAACCACAACGTGGTGTTGGTTTTATGCCAAAACGTGGCTGTGATGTTCATAATAATGAAATTGCTAGGCTTTTTAAATTACATTCAAAAGGTTTATGTGAAGTAATTAGTTTTACTGTGCCAAGAAAGGTAATTATTATCTATGTTTTGATTTTTTTGAGCATTGAATAATTTTTTTCTTCTTTCAAAAATAGTCTGAATTATTTCAAGATGATCTCTATCCGGATACAGCAGGCGATGAACCAGCATTAACAGCTGAACAATGGATTAATGGTGAAGATGCTGAACCAATTTTGGTATGCATTATTTTTGGGTTGGATGTGTTTTATGAAAATTTAACACATTGTATTTTCATAGGTATCATTGAAAGAAGGTTATCAATCGACAAAAAAACAGGATCTTAAAGTTGTAAAAAAGAAAAGCAACATATTGGATACAAAACCAACATCAAAACGATCCACAACAGATGGTGAATCTGTTTCAAGCGGTAATGCTAGTGGTGGTGGTGGTGGTGGTGATAGTCTTGAAGCATTATTATCATCATTACCAGCACCCGGTATGACATCGGAACAGACACAAAAATTTGATGAATTAGCTATGGAAGTACATAAATTGAAAGCAATCGTATTGAAACATGAGATTAGGATTCGTGATCTTGAAAAAACATTAACATCAAATAATATAAAATTGGATACTGATGAATCATCACGTACAACTAATAATGGTGAAACACATTGAAAAAAAAAACATTTGATTTTATCAAATGAAGAATGTGGAGAATTCGGAAAAAGAAAAATACAACAAAGAAGAAAAAGAAAATAATATTACCCATCGATTTAACTTTATCATATTTGATTTTTAAAAGAAAAAATTATTATTATTATTTATAAAACAAAACAAAAAAATCTTTCATTTTTTAAAAAATAACATCTTTACGATATTTTTTTTTATCGTTCCAAGTATTATATGTCCCCCTTCAACAAGCAAACCGAAACAAAAAAATCGTGCCATTTTTCTTTCCTCACACCTATTCTTCATTCATCCATCCTGATTCATCAAAAAAAAACATCAGCAAAATTAAGCCAAAAAAAGCCAAGAATCCTCATCAATTTCAAAAATTTTTTTTAACCCTTTGCTCTCCTCCAAAAAAAACATGAATATTTTTATTTTTTCACCAAATAGAATCGATATTTACAAATTTTATAATTAATTTTTTTTTTATTATAAAAAAAAGCGTCCGTTAATGTCAAATTTTGCTTATCAATCATCATCATCTTCATTATCAGTTTATCAATTCATCTTTGCATATTAAATATTTTTAAACCACCTATGCTTCTACCAACATCACCCCTTCCTCCTCTCCTTTTCCCATGATTATGATTAAAAAAAATATTGTGAAATGAAATTGAAAATTTTTCCTTTTTCTTCGAAGAGAAACTTGAATTTCGAACAAAATTCACTTGGATAATATCCGGATGCTGCTGAAATGTTTAACCTTGTTTTGCTGTCAATCTATTTTGCTGGTTACTTGATTATCAAGTGTGAATAAGGCCATCAATGTTTTGCTGATTTAAAAAAGTCATCTTTTTGGAGAAGAAAATAAGTTCATTTATGGTATAAGATGATGATGATGGCCATAAATGATGATTATATCATCAACATTGTTTTGAATAAAATTCAATTTTTTAACGCCCTGTGTTTTTTTATTTTGTTGTTGAAAATTTCTCATCAAACCATTCTGGAACATTGTAACTTTGTTCACCAAATTCAATGTCGATGATGATGATGATGATGGCTATATTCACATCAGTGGCAAGATAATTTTATTTTTTACGTAATTTGCTGTCGATATTGTCCAAATGTGTGTAGGATGAACGGATCTTGACAGAAATTTTTCATCAAATTATAAATTGTGATTAATGAACAGTTTTTTCGTTGTTGTGAAAAAAAAGGTTAATTGAAAATTGTTTTTTTTCGCGCCAAATTTTGATAGATCCAAATATAAATTGAATCAACGAAACACTCCCCATTTTGATGAATGGAAAAATGAGCAAAAAATTTACGAACGGTTATGGTCATAATTGAAACAGTTGTATCACCGAACTTATCGAATCAATTGAATGAATGAAACAGAAATTTTTTTTTTTGAATGAATGCGTTTCATTGTGACTATTAACCAATTTTCTCTTTTGCTGTTTGCTCATGTTTTGTGTGTTACGCATGTTTATATGTTGAACACACAGACGTAACATTCGATTTTTTTTGTTTGTTGTTGGAACAATTCATTCTGTTTTTTTTTTGTTTGTTTGTTCCAGGAACAATAGAATTTGAAATCTGTTTTTTTTTTGTTTCTCTTTCGTTTGTTTATTGAATTTTTGTATGTGTTTCTGAAACATGTCAAGAAAAAAAAATTTCTCTTCATCCGATCATTGTTGCAACAAACATCAATTTCCAAATTTGAGAAGAAATCATTGAAAAAAAACAACATAATAATAATCTTCTTCCTTGCGATTATGCCAAAAAAAAATAAAACATCACATCAGACGACGAATTATAATTAGACATCAGTGTGTATCGCTTGTTGTTGGTAAATAAATTTGATATTGAAAAAAAACAAACAAACAAACGAATGAATGAAAATGATTATAAAATATCAACAACAACAACAACAACGTTGAATCAACGACAACAACAACCAGAGAATAAAAACTTGCAATGATCATCAATTTTTTTTTGACGATCATCATCATCATTATCATCATTTGATAAACCTCGAACAAAAACAACAACAAATCTTTCAACATTTTTGAATCTTTTGAATTTCGAATCCAAACCAAAACATTCGAATCCAATCCAAAAACATTCGAATCATATCGAAACATTCGAATGTTCAAAGAGTCATATTCATATTCAAACTCTTTGTTTCTCTTTCTCTCACTCTTGTTTCATTTCAATTTTGGATAATTTATCTTCCCCTTCATTTTTTTGAAATATAAAGTAAGTATATCATCATCATCATCATAAATTGATATTTTAAAATCATTTATCATCATGTATATAGAACGAAAGAGACAAACTTTTTTTCCATCATCATCATGATGCTCATTCACACAAAATATATTTTGAAAGAAAAAAACGAAAAAACACAAGCGAGAAAATCCTAAATCAGATTTTTTTTCTGATTTTCCTTATGGTCTTGTTTTTTTTTTGTTTTTCTCCTCGCAAATAGACAAAATATTCAACAAACAGTAATGCAAAAAAAAGTTCTAGTTTTTCATTCATTCATTCATTCATATATAATCTATGTGTGTTCCTATTTCGTTCTTCTCAATAATAAATGTGATTTTTTTCGTTCGTTGTCGGGTTATAGTTAGTTAGTTAGCTAAGGGAGAATCTTTCATCATTTTTATCAACAGCAGCAATAGCAAACACACACACACAATTAGCAATATTCTATATTTGAAATGATGATTGAATAAATGAATTGATGATGATGATGATTTTCGTCTCTTTTTTTCATTCATTTTGTTTTAGTTTGTTGTTGTTGACTATTTTGTATCAAAGAATGTGTTAACCACAAAAAATCTATATTTTTCTTTCTTCTTCTACAGTTGCTGTTTTAATTCAAGTAAGTTTTTCAGGATTAGGATTATCCTTTTTCATGTTTGGGCACTCCTTGTGGTTGATGATGATGATCAATGTGAGAGTTTTGTTTTATAAAAAGTGTATCCAATAGACATACATCAAGCAACCACTACATACAAATTGAAAAAAAAAATTGAATTTTAAATTTTTTGTTTTTTCAATTTGTTGTTGTTGTTATTCCATCAAAATTGAATTTTTTTAAAACAACAAAAAAATCATTATTCATCATCATCATCATCATCATTTTTGAATGTTGTCATTCGGTTGATTATTATTTCCTTTTCAATATTGCTATCTTTAGATTCTATTTATCGCATGTGTGTGTGGTGGTGGTTTATGGCTTGTTCTAATGATTGACAAACTTTATTTTTTATTTTTTAGTTATTCATGTAAAAAACCAAAAAATGATTTTTGAAAGTTCTGTTGTGTTGATTATCACATCAATTCAATCATTCATTATTCAATGAAATTTGTGTGTTCAATTTTTCTTGTTTTTTGATTTTAAAATCGACAAATTCAAGAATTTTTCATTTCATTTCAATTTTAGAATAAATGGATACAATAATGGTTGTTTATGCTAACAAAAAAAAACGATTTTAATGGTGATATTGATCTTTGTTTTATGTTAGTCAACCGAAATCATTGAAATGTTTTGCGTTTTTTTTTGTTCACATCTTTTTTTCTGTCTGTTGATATAAATTGATTGATCGGTTGATTGATTGATTGATCGATTTGTTTGTGTTTTTGTGTTTATTGAATGTTTTTTTTGTTGTTTTGTTTTTCCTTCGTTTGTTTAGGCCAAATTTTTATTCTTCCTTTTAAAAAAAAAACCAATTCTGATCGTGATATCAAAACAATGTTTATGATTAAAGAATAATAACAAGAACAGGAACAACAATGGCAGCAACAACAACAAGTCCAAATAATCAAGATTGGTTTCTAATGACTGGTGATCTAATTATTAATCTACGTAGTACAAAAACTGGTGATACAAATAATATTTTAAAGGGATCAAAAAATCGACGACGATTATCATCATCATCATCATCATCAAATGTAAATGGAAAAAAGAATTTGAAAAAATTTCATATTGAAAATGATGTTGAAATGATTGATTCAATTTTGGATGATAATCAAAATCAATTAGAATCATCAACAATTAAATCATTTAATGATGATTGTGATTGTTTAAATAGTATACGTTCAAATTTGGAACAAAATTTACAACATGCAAAAGAAACTGATATTGATCATCATGATAATGGTTATAATAATGATGATGATTTATCTACAAATAATTTGAAAACTTCAACAACAACAGCAGCGACCACAAATAATACAAATACTATTCAATCATTATCATCAAAAATATCAAATTCATTATCATCAACAACAACAACAACAACAACGACATCATCATCATCATCATCGGGAAATGTATCATCTGGAATTTTATGTGATGATGATGTACAACTACAGGAACAAGAACAGGAACATCATCAGCTGCCACAGCAACAGCAACAACAACAACAACAACAATCTATAAAACCACCATCATCAAATTGTTCAAGTGATTATCAACATTTTTCATTTTTTGATCATCCAAATGATCAACAAGAACAACAAAAACATCAGCTTGATCATCAACAACAGCAACAATCGGAACAAAAACAGGAAAATTGTTATGAAAATATTGGTGATTGTCGTTTTAAATCACAGGAATCAAATCTTTATAATTTAATTTCTGATGATAATGATGATGATGATGGTAATTATTCTAGATCAATGGATGAATTATCAATTGGTAGTGATGAAAGTAGCCTTTTATATTATTCAACACCTTCAAAATTTAATGGTCAACAACAACAAGGAATTGATACACCAAGTGCATCAAGATTAGCCAAAAGATTATATAATCTTGAAGGATTTAAAAAATCCGATGTTGCAAGACATTTATCAAAAAATAATGAATTTTGTCGTACAGTTGCGGAAGAATATTTAAAATTATTTAATTTTTCTAATCAAGAATTAGATGTTTCATTAAGATATTTTCTTTCATATTTTCATTTAATTGGTGAAACACAAGAACGTGAACGTGTTTTAGTTTATTTTTCAAAACGTTATTATGAATGTAATCCAAATACTGAATTCAAAAGTATCGATTCAATACATACATTAACATGTGCATTAATGTTATTGAATACTGATCTACATGAAGAGGTAATTTGATAAAATGATGATAATTGAAATCATAAATCTATATTCAATAATTTATTTATTTATATCATCATAATATAATAATAGAACATTCATCGTAAAATGACTTGTTCAAATTTTATATTCAATTTAGCCGGTATGAATGATGGTGATGATTATCCAAATAATCTACTCAAATATCTTTATTATTCGGTCAAGAATAATCCACTTGGTTGGCTTGAGTAAGTGTTTTCTTTTTTTTGTATTATTATTGTTTTTATTTTTAGACTTTTTGTTTTTGTTATTTATCTTTTGTCTTTTGTTCAAATGATTTTCATTATATGATATTTCTTTCTTTTCTTTATTATTTGAAGCGATGAAGATCATCCAAGAACAATAACAAAATCATCTACAAATCGTAATGTATTTGCTAAAATAACAACAATATCAAAATCGATTAGTTCACCATATGCAACATTACCAAGAAAATTTAATCAACAATTATCATCATCATCATCAATGATATCAACAACAATATCATCGGGAATAGCAACAACAAGTCCATTTATTGATCTACCAAATCCATTGGTTGCAATTGAATATAAAAAAGGTTATATTCGTCGTAAATGTTGTTATGATTCGAATGGACGTAAAAGTAAGTTTGATTTTTTTTCCGGTTGTTTGATTTTTATCATTTTATATTCACTATAAACGTTCAGCTTCAATCGGTAAACGTAGCTGGAAATTATTCTATGCAACATTACGTGATCTAGTTCTTTATCTACATAAAGATGAAAATGGATTTCGTAAATTACAATTACAAGAATGTTTTGCCAATTCAATTCGTATTCATCATTCGATTGCATCAAAAGCGGATGATTATCCTAAAAAGAAATTTGTATTTCGATTGATTACAGCAGATTATGCGGAATATTTATTTGAAACTAGGTAAGAAATTGATTTATTGATTTTGTTTTAAGTTCAAACGAATTTATTTCCATTGAAAAAAAAACATTAGTGATTCAAAAGAATTACAATCATGGATCGAAACAATCAATACAACTGCAGCTAGTCTTTCGGCACCAACATTACCTATGGCAGTTTGTTCGGATAGTCGAAAATTTAAAAAAGAAATATTTCCTGTTAGTCATACAAAATTATCATTGGTAAGTTTATATTTCTTTGAAAGAAAAAACTTTAAAAACATTAACATTTTCATTATAAAAAAAATTAATAGCGTGAACAATTGAAAGATCAGGAAAATAAATTATTATCATTACAAAAAGATCTGGAACAATTGTTAGAAAAATCATGTCAAAATATTAAATATCGTAAAGGATTTATGGAAAAAGAAAATTATCTACAACATGAGGTATGTTTGGGTTTTATCATATAAAATTCATCAATTTTTTTCTCCCTTTTTTTTCAGATAAAACGTTATCGTGTTTATGTTTCCTGTCTACGACGAGAATTGAAAAAATTACCCATACAATCTTCGAATGATCTACAACAACCACAACAACAGCATAATGATGATTCATCTATACATTCACAGAATCATCGTCAACAACAACAACAATCGTTAACTGTAAATCATCATCAAGATGATTCAAGTTTACAATTTCGTTGTTCAGATGATTCGGATAATTCATTGAAATAAACACATACATACACACACAGAAAATAGCTATCTTTTTTTGAAACAAACAAACGGCATCTTTTTCTTATTCTATTCTATTTTTTGTGATCTTTTTTTTTAAAAAAATGTTATTTTTTATCTTTTTATTTTTTCCCAAAAACTTTTGAAAACAAAAACTGATAATTCGGATAACAAACACACACACACACACCGAAGGCAGCCATTTTTAAAATCTATTTATTATGTCATTATTTTTTTTAATAAATAAAAAAAATCTATATTTTTGTGATAAATGAAAAAAAATGAAAATTTTAATAAAATCAGAAAATTTTTTAAACTTTTACACAGAAAAAACCAACCAAACTATTTAGGTAGATATAGTCGAACAACATAAAATTGAATTCATCATCATCATCATCATCATAATCGAATGTGTGTGTGTGTGTAATGTGCTGCGTGCTCTGCCTTTTTTTTCTTTTGCATTTTAACCAGGGCTTTATTGAGCTTGTGTATGTGTGTTGTGTGTGTTTGTTTGTTTGTTTCTCTCCCCTCTTTTTCTCCATTGATTCAACCGAAACAACAGCAAAGAAAAAAACAAAAATCATTTTCTGGTTTTCTGGTGATGATTTGATTTGTTTCTTAGGATTTTGTTTCTTTCTTTCTTTTTTTGATTACATATCTCAGCTGCTTTCATTTGATTTCAGGATTAATTTTTGTCATCAATTTTTAACCCCTGATCTATGTTTGTTTGATTGTTCAAATGTTTGTGTTTGTGTTTGTACATCGGTATATGATGTAATATGATGTTTGTCTTTTTCTCTATGTGTATGCTCAACCAACAAAATAATAATAATTTAAATATACACTGAAAAATTTGTGATTGCCAACCATCAAGAAAAAAACAAAAAGAAAAGAAAACCACAGAATCCTAGAACAAGAAATGAAAGAAATTTAAATCGTTAATGACAACGAAGAAAAATTGATTTTTTTGTTTTCAAAATTGGATTATTTTATTCTGAATTTGTTGAATCAATTCTATCCGTTTGTTTGAATTATTTTATTTCTTAAATTTTCTTTTGTTGTTGCTGTTGTTTGGTGAAATTTAATAATTCGATTAATCGATTCTTCTTTTGACCGGAATTTTTGGTTCGACAAAAACCGAAAATCCCACTGATTGTCATCAACAAAATACAAAATCAATCAATTGATTTTTCTGTTAGTTTTCCGCCACCTTGTTTTCCCTGTTTTCTTTTCATCATCTGATTTTTTTGTGCTAAAACAAACATACCGGCCGGCTCTATTTTTTTGATTATTTCGTGTGTGTGAATCTGCAGCTATTTGTAATTTGACGAAAAAAAATGAGCAACAAAGTTTGGCCCGATGAAGATGAAGAACAAATGGATGTTGATATGAAAAAATGGCATTGGCGTGGTAATCCAAAAGATTTTGTGGCCGAAGATGATGATAGTAAGTTGAGATGGTTTTTTTGTTTGTTTTTGTTTTTTTCATCTATAATTTTCCTTTTAATAATTCTTTTCAGATACAGCGCCATTCCGGCTTAGTATTCCTAGTCCACAAGTTAAAACCGAAGAAGAAGAAAACATTGATGCCAATATGGAAGAAGGTTTGTTATTCTTTTTTAAATTATTTAATAATCATTTCATTTTCACAAAAAAAAAACAGTCGATGAATCAAGATCTGAAGCAACATTCAGTTATAAAATGGAAAATTTTAGTAAAATAAAAGATTCTGTATTAAGTCCACCAACATATGTACGTAATCTGCCATGGCGTATAATGGTTATGCCACGTACTGGACAACCAAATCAACAAGCAGTAAAAAGTTTAGGCTATTTTCTACAATGTAATGGTGAATCCGAATCAACGTAAGTTTTATAAATATTCAAATGTTTGTTCCGTGATTTATTCATTTCTTTGTTTATTTGTTATTCAATAATGAATAGAGCATGGTCATGTAGTGCTATTGCTGAATTAAGAATACTTTCACAAAAAGAAGGTGTTGAAAATATGTCACGAAGAATTCAACATATTTTCTATAATAAAGAAAATGATTGGGGTTATAGCTATTATATTAGCTGGAATGTAAGTGTTAATTTATGATTATGATAATTATTTTATTAATTTCAAAAAAAAAACCGAATAGGATTTATGCGATCCAAACAAAGGCTATATTAAAGATGATGCAGTTATATTTGAAGTTTGGGTACAAGCCGATGCACCACATGGTGTTAGTTGGGATTCAAAAAAACATACCGGATATGTTGGACTAAAAAATCAAGGCGCTACATGCTATATGAATTCATTATTACAAACATTATTTTTTACGAACAAATTACGTAAAGCTGTCTACCAAATGCCCACTGAAAGTGATGATACATCAAAAAGTGTTGCATTAGCATTACAACGTGTATTTTATGATCTACAATTTTCGGATAAACCAGTTGGAACAAAAAAATTAACAAAATCATTTGGTTGGGAAACACTTGATTCATTTATGCAACATGATGTACAAGAATTATGTCGTGTATTACTTGATAATATGGAAAGTAAAATGAAAAATACTATTGTTGAGGGTACGATTCCGAAATTATTCGAAGGAAAAATGATTGTATGTCTTTTTTATATTTAAAATTATCTTGAAAATAAGATTTTGACTTTTTTTTCTCTTTTTTTTCACTCAAGTCATTTGTTCGATGTAAACATGTGAATTTTTCTTCATCACGTACCGAACCATTTTATGATATACAATTGAATATAAAAGATAAAAAAGATATTTATGAATCATTTGATGATTATGTTGAAGTAGAAACATTGGATGGTGAAAATAAATATGATGCCGGTGATCATGGATTTCAAGAAGCGGAAAAAGGCATCACATTTGAATCATTTCCGCCCGTATTGCATTTACATTTATTAAGATTTCAATATGATCCATTGACTGATGCTAATGTCAAAATAAATGATCGGTTTGTTTTGTTTGTTTTGCTTTGTGTTTTGTTTGAAATTTTTTAATTTTTTATTTCCATTTTAGTTTGGAATTTCCGGAAAAATTATCACTAAATAAATATCTACAGAATCCGGAAAGTACACCGGCAAATTATATATTACATGCTGTATTGGTACATTCAGGTGATAATCATGGTGGTCATTATGTTGTATTTATCAATCCAAATGGTGATGGTAAATGGTGTAAATTTGATGATGATGTTGTATCTTGTTGTTCAAAAACTGAAGCTGTTGATCATAATTTTGGTGGTAATGATGAAGAATTACCTGGAAAACATTCAACAAATGCATACATGTTGGTATATATACGTGAATCAGCTATAAGCGATGTATTACAACCAGTAACCAAAGAAGATATACCTGATCAATTAATTGAACGATTACAAGAGGAAAAGAAACAGGAAGCATTACGTCGAAAAGAACGAAATGAAGCTCATTTTTTTAATAATATAACCGTATACACTGAAGATAGTATAATGTCACATAAGGGTATTGATTTGATTAATCCGGAAAAGACACCATGTTATACATTTAAAATTTATAAATTGGGTTCATATAAAGAAAATCTAACATCCATAGCGCAACAAATGAATTATCCAACTGATGGTATTCGTTTATGGCCATTCATAACAAGAAATAATCATTCATTTCGTCCAACACGCATGATGAGTGATATGGGCAGTGTAATCGAACCATTAAATAATATGTCATTGTTTGTTGAAACTATATCGCCAGAATTACCGTATAAAACGTTACCAGAATCGGATAGCGAAGGTATGATTTTAAATTATAAAATTTTTAATAATTTTTTTTTTAAATTACAAATCTTTTTATTTTTGGATTTTACAGTACATGTTATGCTATTTTTCAAGTATTATGAGCCTAATCATAAATATTTAACTTATTGTGGTCTCGGACATATTGAACGTAATATAACTGTTGCTGATTTAATGCCCATTCTATGTGAAAAAGCTGGCCTACCTAAATCAACACCATTGGCCATTTATGAAGAAGAATTTTTGGCCACTGTAAATAGAATTAATGATTTGGATAAAACATTGGCTGAAGCTATTGTTGATCTATCCGATGGTGATATACTTGTTTTCCATCGTGATGATATTTTGATTGATGAATCATTATCGGTCAAAGAATATTATACCGATCTAATACATAAAGTTGAAGTACTGTTCTGTGATAAAAACAATCCAAACGATCAGGGTTTTGTATTGGAATTATCAATGAAAATGAATTATACACAGATTGCTGACGCTGTTGCTATGCGTCTTGGTACGGAGCCAAATTTGATTCAATTTTTTAAAAATCAAAGGTAAATTTTCTTAAAATTGTTTTTGGAAAATTAACGTTTTTTTTTTTCTTGTTCATATTTCGAATATTGTAGCAGTTATCGTGAAGGACCGGGTTGCCCAATTCGTTGCAATTATGATGGAACACTTAAAGACATTCTTTTCTATTTTAAACCACGACAACCGAAAAAGATTTTCTATCAACATGTAAGTGACATTATTTTTTTTACTATTGATTTATTTGAAAAATCTTTTTGTTTTTTTTTTCTACCACCATCATTGATGATGATGATGATCAGTTAAACATAAGCATACATGAGCTTGAGAACAAACGATCATTCAAGTGTACATATGTTAATAGCAAACTTAAAGAAGAGGTAGGAATGATTTAATTTGAAAATTGAAACAATTTTTTTTCTAATCACTTTTTGTCGTTGTTTTTGATCAATAATTAATAACAAATATCGACCATATCACCCAGAAGGAAATGGAATTATATCCCAATAAAAATGGTACTGTTAATGATTTATTGGAAGAGGCAAAAAAACAGATTGAATTAAATGAAGATTCATCACATGAATTACGTTTATTGGAAGTAGTATCAAGCAAAATAAATTATATCATAACAAATGATATATTATTGGAATGTTTGAATGCAACTGGAACTAAATCGTATCGTATCGAAGAGATACCAAAAGATCAATTAAAATTGGAACCAAACGAATTCCTATTACCGGTTGCTCATTTTCAAAAAGAATCCTATCATACGTTTGGTGTACCGTTTTTGTTGAAAGCTAAAAATGTAAGTCGATTTGTTTTTTGTTTTTTGTTTTTGGATAATCATTTTTATTTTTATTTTTTCTCAATGATATTATAGAAAGAAACATTTGCATCGATCAAGGAAAAAATACAGAAAAAGCTCGATATACCAGAAAAAGAATATGAAAAGGTTTGAAATTTTGTTGGTTATTTTGTTTTTCTTGAATAACTTTCAATTGTTGTTGTCTAATTGTTTTGTACAGTATAAATTTGCAATTATAACGGGGAGAGTTCAATATATAAATGATGAAACGAATTTTGTTTTCAACAAAGAAGATTTTGCTTCATACAGTAAGATTATGAAATTTGAAAATTTCCCAAAAAAAAATCACTAAATTTTTTTAAAATATTTTTTAGATTCAGTCAATACTCATATGCCAAAAGCATGGCTTGGTTTGGATCATGTGAACAAAACGCCTAAACGTTCACGATATACTCATCTGGAAAAAGCTATCAAAATTCATAATTGATGAAAAAACAAACAACAAAATTCTCGATGAAAATCAATGGTGATGATGATGATGATGGAAATGAAAAAACAAAAAGAAAGAAAGAAGAAAAAAAAATCTTTCATGTCGTTGTTGCTGATTCAGCTCGAAACATTCAAACATCAATTTTAATTTTCCTGAATGAATTCAATTATTTTATTTTATTATCAAATTTGTCCTTTTCTTCTTCTTCTTATTCTTCTTCATTTTTTTTAGATTGAATTCAATCATCAAATGTAAATGGGATGTGTAAATGAGACATGAATTTTGAAGAAGAAAAAAAAATTATTTAATTACAAATCATATAAACACACACACACACACAACGCAGAAGAAAAGGACAGATAAATGATTAAACATACATAAACATCAAACACACACACGAAAGAAAAAAAAATCTATTCTAAACTGGCTTCTATTCATTATTTTTCTTCTTCTCTAGAAAAAAATACACTTTTTCTCTTATTATTATTATTATTATCGATTTTTTTTTCTTTTTAAAACCTAAATACCTAAATATATACCTTAATTACACTAATTGGTGGTGATGATGATGATTTTTTTTTTTTTTTTTGGCAACAACAACGATGATACTAAACAACGACATGAATTTAGATTTTTCTTTTTCTTTTCTTTTTTTTTTGATTTGGGAAATACATAATACACATTCAATGATGATAAACAACGTATTTTTATCAATGTATTTTCGGGGTTTTTTTAAAAAAATGATGATGAAATTGTTGTTTCGATTTTTTTTTGTATGTGCGATGTTTGTTTGATTGAAATAAATGAAAATTTTGATTCGAAAATGAAAATAATAAAAATTTTGTTTTTTTTTCAGTGTGACTTAGAGTTCAGTTAGGTTAGGTTGCTATGACTATGACTATGCCTGTGATTTATAGTTGAGTGAGGTTAGGTTAGGTTGCTGACTATGACTATGGCTATGATGTTCATAGTTCAGTGAGGTTAGGTTGCTGACAATTTTTTAAAAAATTGAGACAAATTTTTTTTTTTTTTTTTTGATTTTATTATTAATAAATATAAATGAAAAATGTATTTGTAAAATATGAAAACAAAGACAAAATTAAAATAAAAATATAATGTGGTTAGTTTTAGTCATAATATAAATAAAGTTTATTTGGGGAAAGGGTTAATGGGTTTTTTTTTGGTGGAAAATTAAACCGGGATAACATTGAATTGATGTTAATGATGAATTTATTTAAATAACTTGTCCGCATTCACCCATAATGAAAAGAAATATTCTTTACGTTTTAATAATGAATGAACAGTATAGGATTCAACACGTGCTTCAACATTAGCTTCACGCATCCATGATGTTGTTTCGGATGTTGTAAATGATAATGATAATGTATCATNTCTAACTGGCTTCTATTCATTTTAATTTCTTCTTCTCTTGAAAAAAATACACTTTTTCTCCTATTATTATTATTATCGATTTTTTTTTAAAAAACCTAAATACCTAAATATATACCTTAATTACACTAATTGGTGGTGATGATGATGAATTCTTTCTTTTTTTTTTGGCAACAACAACAACGATGATACTAACAACGACATGAATTTAGATTTTTCTTTTTCTTTTTCTTTTTTAAATTATTGATTTGGGAAATACACATTCAATGATGATAAACAACGTATTTTTACCAATGTATTTTCGGGGTTTTTTAAAAAAATGATGATGATGAAATTGTTGTTTCGATTTTTTTTGTATGTTCGATGTTTGTTTGATTGAAATAAATGAAAACAAAAAATTTTGATTCGAAAATGATGATAATAAAAAAAATTTTGTTTTTTTTTCAGTGTGACTTAGAGTTCAGTTAGGTTAGGTTAGGTTGCTGACTATGACTATGGCTATGACCATGACTGTCATTCATAGTTCAGTGAGGTTAGGTTGCTGACCATTTTTTTAAAAAATTGAGACAAAATTTTTTTTTTTTTTTTTTTGATTTTATTAATAATAAATATAAATGAAAAATGTAAAATATGAAAACAAAAACAAAAATATAAATATAAATATAATGTGGTTAGTAGTAATGGTTAATTTAGTTATAATATAATTAAAGTTTATTTGGAGAAAAGGTTAATGGGTTTTTTTTTGGTGGAAAATTAAACCGGGATATCATTGAATTGAATTGATGATGAAAGTTTATTTAAATAATTTGTCCGCATTCACCCATAATGAAAAGAAATATTCTTTACGTTTTAATAATGAATGAACAGTATAGGATTCAACACGTGCTTCAACATTAGCTTCACGCATCCATGATGTTGTTTCGGATGTTGTAAATGATAATGATAATGTATCATCACGTTCTAAATGTTCACGTTCAGCTTCTTGTTCTTCAAAACCAGGTGGCCTTATCACTGTTATTGGTTCTTCTGATTCTAATGGATCCGAAAGACCAATTTCATTTTCAGCCATAACCCTTATTTTATATGAACGATTTTCTTGAAAATCTTTTATCTGTAAACGATGTACAGTTGAATCAACTTTACCAACTTGTATCCACATTGTACGACGTGCATCTTTTGCTGCAATTACATAACCAGTAATTGGTGAACCACCATCATATTCTGGTTTACCCCATTCAATCATTATTGCACTAGGACTAACTGAACGCATTTCTAATGGTGCTGTTGGTATACCAGGTGGTGTTGCATCTTTACATAATTGTACTGGATATTCCGATTCTAATGGATCACTTTGTCCAAGTGCATTTTCAGCCAATACACGTATATTATATTCATATTTGGATGATAAATTCTGTATTGTATATGATAATTGATCTGGATTAACAATTGCTTCACGTATCCATGTATTTTCAAATGTTAATTTTCTTTCAATAATATAATTTGTTAATTCTAAACCACCATTTGATAATGGTGGTTTCCATACAATACGCAGCGATGCATTTGTCATTTCATTCAATTCTAATGGACCGATTGGTGGTGTTGGTGGTCCATAACGACATTTAACGGTTATCTTTGTTTCCGGATAATATGGATCACTCCATCCAATTTCATTTCGACATGTTATTCGCAATTCATAGGTTTTTTCTTTTTCAAGATTTTCAATTTTTGCGGTTAATGTTTCACCATCAACTGTTGTGGATTTTTGCCATTCTTGTACGTTAATACTTTCATCATCAATATCATCATTTGATTCACGTGTTTCAATAAGATATTCGATTAATGATGAATTTCCATCATATTCAGGTGGATTCCAATGCAAATTAAATGATGATTCAGTATGATCACTTGTTTTTATTGGTCCAGTTGGTGGTGATGGCCGTTCTAATATTTTTCTACAAAGTACTGATTCAGTCATTGCTGGATCACTTATACCAAATTCATTTATTGAACTAACACGAAATTTATATCTTAAACCAGCAATTAAATGACGTATTGTATGTGAAAATTCATTACCATTAACTTGTGTAACTTCAATCCATTCTTTACCCATACGAGTTTCATATTTTTCAATCAAATAGAATAATATCGATGAACCACCATCATCTTTTGGTGGATTCCATGATAATTCAATAGAATTTTCACCACCCGGTACACAACGTATTGGTTGTTCAGGTGGACCAGGACGTTTCAACATTCGTAATTCAAAATCATATTTACGTTCACCAGCTGAATTAATCAAATGTAATGTATAAATACCGGCATCTTCGAATGAAAAATTTTTTATCAACAATTTTGTTGTTCCTTTTTCATTATTATCGATCAAAATATTCATTGTATTACGTAATTTCAATGCACCTTTATACCAATTAATTTCTGGTTCAGGAAAACCATAAATTTCACATTCAATTAGATGTTCATTTCCTTGTTTAATTTTAGCTAAAATAGCATCATTATTAAACCTTGCATATGGTTTTTCTTCAACTAATAATTTTGTTCGGGTTATTGCTTCACCAATATTATTTCGTGCAATACATTTATAATTACCAGACCATTCAAATGAACATTCTTTTATAATTAATGTTGATGATGAATGTTGTTGATCATATTTAATAATAATATTATCATTATTTTCATCAATTTGTTCATCATTATGATACCATTCAATATTAGGTAATGGATTACCAATTGATTTACATTCAAATGTTGTTGTTGCAAATGGTTGTGTACGCATTACACTTGGTAATGGTTGAATGAATGTTGGCGCCATTTGTAAATCCTGTTCTTCCATTATAACCGGTTCACTTTCCATTGATGGTAATGATTTACCGGCTTTATTTATTGCATAAACACGAAATACATAACAAATTGAATGTTTAAGATTACGAATTTTTACATGTTGTTCATTAATAAATTCATTATATTCTTTCCAATTTTTTGCTTTCAATTCTTTATATTCAACCAAATAATTTGATACTGGTGAACCATTATCTTTTTTCGGTGATTGCCATACTAATATTAATGAATTATTTGTTATATTCATTGGTTCTGGACGACTTGGTGGATCTGGTTTATCAATGATGAATAATTCAAAATGTGTAATGTATTGGCCAATTGAATTTTCTAAACTCAATTTATAAAGACCAATATCATCATCATCAAAATTTTTAATTGTCAATATTGTACGGCTCATCATAATTTCGACTGAAGATTTTTTCGATGTTTTTATTATTTTACCCGAATGATACCATTCTGCTTTTGGTGATGGATAACCTTCATATGAAATATCTAATGAAAAATTTTCACCACGTACAGCTGTAAATCTTCTTGTATCCGTAAGTACTTTTGGTGGTGTTAGTACGGAAAGTTTCCCAGTGGAACGTTGTCCATTACAAATTGCCGTATAATAACCACGATCTTGTACATTAACATTTTTGATGATTAATTTTTTATGTTTACCAATCGTACTGATCATCATACGATTACCATCCGGTTCAATAATCTGATCATCTTTCATCCAAACAATATCCAAATTTTCATCAATAACTTCAACCGATAATGTTGCTGTTTCACCTTCATTTACATTAAAATCTTTTAATTTTAATAAAAATACTAACGGTTCTTTTGATACA